GGCCTCGTCGACCTTGCGGAATCTGTCGGGTATTTACAATGGTCGAATTGTATAATTATCAGCTTTTATAGCATATCTAATGGACAAAAAGTATCTGGTCGATTAGTAACCAATTGGCACAGTCGGAAAATTATCGATTTTTATTTTCTGTTTTATTGGTCGCTTCAAAATTCAGAGCAACAAAAGCTATTTTTCTGTAGTAAATGACTGTGAAATACGCCCCGCCATCTGGTGCTTTACATCCATAAACATCTTAGGTTGAGCTACTTTAAAAATTCATATACAAGGATAATAGTAATACAGTCTGTTGCAACCTTTTTTTAATAATAAATTTTACAATTTTATTGTTTAATAAAAATGTGGCTATTAAACAAACAAAAATCGGGATATTAGGGCTTTGCGTGGAGACGCGGGACTTTTGGATCAAAATCGGGATTGTCCCGGACGAGTGGCAACCCTACCTAGGGCCCCACCCTAGAGTCCTCTTTCTGTCGACATGGATAGCATTCTACTCCTTCCTTAATATTTTTATTCAAAGGAATAAACCTAAATAGAAATGACACTTCTATACCCTGTATCTCCAAAACGAAGCATTATGCGTGTTCAGGGAACACAGCGGCTGACCGACCGCTGAGACTTTTGCTCAGCGGCTGACTGTTTTTGTGTGTAAAAATAGACCGTTTAGGGAAGTCGCTTACTCAGCCACTCAACCGCTGACTGTCCCTGAACGCGCACATTTTACGATTACAAATTTATACAAACATTTCTATTTATTTTATCTGCCCAATATATTCCCAAAGATTATCGAATACCATTCGAATCACCCCTGTATAATAAAAAAAACAATATCTCTCTTACCTCAATTAATTGTTGGGTGTCTTCTGCACTATACATGCTATTAAAGTTGAGTAAATCCAGACCAGAGCCTTTCACAACTCCCATTGGTACCGAATACCACTTTGTTTACCTATTTTGTTGTCCGTTTGAAAATTTGTTCCTGTATCGTTAACGGAAAAATCTTTAGGCAGTGGCAATTCGGGTTCTATATAAATAAATAATTATGTTAGTACAGAGAGGCTCCAATGAAAAGTTTTTATGTATTAAAATTAAATTTTGTGAGCATATGTATCATGTTGTGTTAGTGGCTTTTTTAGCCAGACTTCGCCCATTTGTTTATTAAATAAAGCCATTATTATTATGATTATTATTATGTAGCAGGGTGGATAAAAAAATCGATTATTTTTTTTTCACTTTATACTCTGAAAAAAAGGTTGGTAGACACCAAGGATACTATAGAGATAAGGATAGTTCGATTCCTATCTTCCTGCACTGTCAGTTTTTTTACGTCATCTACTGACCGAGTTGAAGTTGGCGCTAAAGATTTTAGACAGTGACAGTTATTTTTGCATTTGAGCGCACAGTGCGTTGGAAGATAAATTTATCGGGACAAAAGCGTTTGGTTGGAAATAAGCCAAAAAATGTGTGCTGATAAGAATAAATAGTAGACATTCCAATTGATACAAAAATGCATGAATATTCTTTGTATTTCTGATACATTTTATCAACCAAATTTGGTCGTTTTCTGTTCAGCAAGGCAGAGATCATACGAAACAAAATATTTACAAGTGCTTATATATTTTATTAGAAAGCTAAATTATGTTGAAGATTGTCAAAGGTATGTACTTTTCTACGTACGTATATTATTTGTTAAAACCCTTCGTGCCTTTGTTCTGCGGATATCAAACTTTCACTTTTTTCAAATATCGATATATTGAATGATGTAGATCTTTTGAGTTACCAATAGTTACCAACACAGGTAGTCACAGTCACAGGCAGTTCAAGCTTAACAGGTGAATGCCCAAAAAGATTCATTTCAACCGGATAGTATAAAAACAAAACAACCCCATCAAAAGGCACTAAGTTTAAAAAATTGTCTTAGATACTTACTATATATGAACTTACAATTACTGAGTGTTAAAATTAAAATATCTATCTTATTTATTATTTTCAAAAATAAAATATATATTTTTTAAATAAATTATAGAGGGTGTCACAAGATTACAAATTAATTAAAAAAAACTGCTAAAGAGTTTTTGATATCATAATTTTATGTATTTGGCAATAGTTTACAATAAAAATTTGTAGTGTCATGTACGAATAATATAGTTTTATTATCTTATTTATTTATTAATAAATTCGTTGTTTATAAATAAATAAATCTAACCATATAGTTGCTATATATTAGACCATTTGCTACGTTCTTAGATTTTAAGTCCCAAACATTGCTCTTGAGATTTTGTCCCGCTAGAATAACCATCCGCCGCACTGTGGAGCGCTGGTCAGCGCGTGACGTAGCATTCGACGGCGACTACGACAGCGGCGATTTGACGCGATCGAACAGTCCTTTAGAATATATAGTCCTTGGGTAGACACCTCAAAAAAGTTCTCTTTAAGTATGAGCTCTTAATTTTAATAGGAAGGTCCTCCGCCTTTGTGTTTTTTATTTTTTTTTCCTTATTATTAGAAAGAAAAAATCATATCTCGGTATCTACTATTTGGAAAAAATATCTCGTCTCATATATTTGTAGTAAATTGAATTCTCTACAAAAAAGATCTCTAACAATTTTTTTGTAAACCTCACCGTTCGAAAGTTATTAAAGGTTGTAAGGTTGATTATTTTAAGGCAGATTTCTTTTTAACCGACCATACCGACAGGTATGGTAGGCTATTAAGATCGGCAATTTTTTTTTTTAATTTCACTCAAAATGAGTTATTTGGGTCATAAATGACTTAAATACAAAATATTTTCATGGTGTCTATCTGTCTGTCTGTCTGTCCGTCTGTAACACGACAACTCAAAAACCGCTAAACCGATTTTAACCAAATTTGGCACAAAAATACTGTGGCGCCCGAGAATCTGGCCATTAGTTTTTGGTGGCGGTGGGAGGGTGTAAAGGGGGTATGGGATGGGGTTAAAAATTTTAAAAAATCTTAACTCCAAAATTACAGTAGCTAGCGAAACGCGGTTTTCAATTTAAGATTAGGAATAATATTTGCAACAAAATTTGTAATAACATCACAATCAGTCAAAGTCGTCGTTTTTGAGATAAAAAAAATATCAAGTATGGGCGGCTATACGTGCCTCCCGGCGGCAATTTTTTCTTATGAATTAAATAACTCGTTAACTCGTTAAATATCATTATGATACTAGGCCAGTAAGTGAGGATAAAAATAGGGTATTACCTCCGAACTCTTGACACCCGCACCGATTGACGTGAAATTTTAACAGTGAATAGAGATATATGTAAGAAACAAAAGTTACATAGTAGGGATGTGTGCTTTCACCCTGGGGGTGAATGCCACCCCTACTCGGGGGTGAAAAACAGATCACCCATTTTAGTTACAAAAATCGATAAAGGGATGAATTCTAAGCAAAAAATATTCCATAACAAATAAAGAAAAAATAAAAAGAATAAAAATAATAAAAAAAATAATTAATATTTTCCGAGTTATTTAGGATTGAAAATCTTGGTTTTTCATCTAAAAACTGCATATTTTTCTGCATTTTTTAATAAATAACTCGAAAATCTTGCATTTTATCGCAAAACTCATATAAAGCAAAAATGAAGCTTTTGGAATAGCGAATCGATTCATTTTTTGTTATTTACCATAGGTGTAGTAATAGCCGAGTTATCCCTCTGTAAACTTGATTCTTTATTTTTCGAAAACTAAACTGCAACCTTTTACCGTAAAATAATGGCGAAAGAACACATTTTTCGAAGAAATGAATATGACCGTTTCTAAAGTGCTTAAAAAGACCTTTTAAATGTCTTTTTTTAAAGGTTTTTTCAAGTTCGTAGCTCAAAAACTCGCGGAGTTATGATAAAAATAAAATGGCCACCTCATTTTTTCGGAAAAAAATTAACAACAAAATCTATGACTAAAATCATAAAAATAAAAAGAGCGAGCTCCAAATTAACCTCTATAGTTGAACAGTCTTGAACTCTTCACTTTCACGAGATTTTTGGGTTTTAAGGGCTCAAAGAAGGTGATCCTTACATGCAAGTCAAACTAAAAAAACGTAATATCTACGAAATAAAGAGATCTACAGAAAAATTAAAAGGGAGCAAAAATATTGCAAAAAAAAAGACCTTCAATTTTCCTCTGTTGCATTTTTTATGTATCTTGCTTAGCAAAATAAAAACACTAAATCACCACAATACACCAAAACACTTTTACTTTTACACTGTTTTAAATATATATAAAATATTTTTTTTTAAAACAGTGTAAAAGTAAAAGTGTTTTGGTGTATTGTGGTGATTTAGTGTTTTTATTTTGCTGTGTAACAGCGAAGGTTCCAACCCTCAACTCTTATCTTGCTTAGTTTTTGAGATATTTCAAAAAAATTAAATTTTTTTAAAAAACAAAAAATATTTTTTTTCATTATTTTCAACTTTTTTCTAAATTTAGGCATTCTAAACCGCTCGAACTTGCATAGCCAATTGCTAGTACCTAAATATAGCCAAATGTACATGTATTACGCTTAGTTTTTATTTTTATGTTTTTAGTCATAGATTTTGTGGTTAATTTTTAACCAATAGGTATGGTGGGCTATTAAGATCAGCAAAAAAAAAAGTTTTTTTAAAAATTTTAAAAAATCGTATCTCCAAAATTACAGTAGCTAGCGAAACGCGGTTTTCAATCTAATATTAGGAATAATATTTACAAACAAAATTTGTAATAACATCAAAATCAGTCAAAGTCGCAGTTTTTGTGATAAAAAAAATTGGAAAAATTCCTTTACCTTGAAACTAAAAGAACTACCTTTTTCAACTTTTTATTAACATATTTTAGTATGGGCGGGTATACGTGCCTCCTGGCGCCAATTTTTTCATGTTATAAAGTGAAAAAAAATAGTCAATTTTTTTGACCCACCCCTATTCCAATTTTTGTTAATCGCCCTCATATTTGGGACACCCGGTACATTAATACAACTTTACCTGTTCGGTCACCACCATTACAACTAAGCTGACAGGCGAAATGCTTCGATTCTGACTCGTTTGAACTGGATAAAGTGTCCACTAAATTACATTCTTCCATATCAAGACTGAGTTGGTTTAAGTTGTCTCGAGCAAGTGAATCTAAAAATGTTTTATTCTCCTCAAGAGGTAGACGGCTGCACAGTAATTTGCTTTCATTTTCAATAATATACTCATTATTATAGATTTCGTTGTTTGTACCATCAAAATGTGTTGGTAATATTGAAGTATTCCTATTTTGATCTTTGTCATCTATCTTATTCGGAGACATTATATTTGTCAGCAAACTATTTGGTTGTTCTACAGGAACTTTGTCTTTACTGTTCTCTTCAGAAACCAATTCCACAAATTGTTCCTTTTTTTTAAGTGTCAAATCGAGACTTTCATCTGGTTGATCAGTTGCAATTGGAATGCTACCGGACATATATACTCCAAATGATTTTTGAGACATTCCCTTGCTACTTTCATGTAGTCCAGTGTCTTTATTAGTATCATGTAAACTATTTTGATTAGTACCCCTTGTCAAATCGATAGACATTTCACTCACATCAGTAGCAATTGGTATACCGCCAAAAGTTCTTAATTTAATTTGTTGAAGAACATGTATGTTATTTGTGTCATTTTTGGAAGAAAAATCTATACTTTTATTATCCTCAAATATCATTACTTTGTTTATATTTTGATCATTGGCTGATCTTTCCAATAATAACTCTGTACTTTGATTGGATTGATCAACAGCAATGGGAATACCACCAAAAGTTCTTGATTTAACTTGTTGAAGAACATGTTTATCATTTGTGTCATTTTTGGAAAATAAATCTTTACTGTTTTCATCCTCAGTTATCATTATTTTCTTTATATTCATATCTTTAGCTGATTGTTCCAATAATGACTCTGTACTTTGATTTGACTGATCAACAGCAATAGGAATACCACCAAAAGTTCTTGATTTAACTTGTTGAAGAACATGTTTATCATTTTTGTCATTTTTGGAAGGTAAATCTTTACTTTTTTCATCCTCAATTATCATTACTGTCTTTATATTTTGATTGTTGGCTGATCTTTCCAATAATGACTCTGTACTTTGATTGGATTGATCAACAGCAATAGGAATACCGCCAAAAGTTCTTAATTTAACTTGTTGAAGAATATGTTGATCATTTGTGTCATTTTTGGAACATAAATCTTTACTTTTTTCATCCTCAATTAACATTATTTTCGTTATATTTGTATCTTTGGCTGATTGTTCCAATAGTGACTCTGTACTTTGATTGGATTGATGAACAGCAATAGGAATACCACCAAAAGTTCTTGATTTAACTTGTTGAAGAACATGTTTATCATTTGTGTCATTTTTGGAAGATAAATCTTTACTTTTTTTATCCTCAGTTATCATTACTTTCTTTATATTCATATCTTTGGCTGATTGTTCCAATAATGACTCTGTACTTTGATTGGACAGATCAACAGCAATAGGAATACCACCAAAAGTTCTTAATTTAACTGATTCTTGTTGACCAACTGATTTAACATTTATGACATTTCTTGAAGATAAATCTATACTTTTATTTTCCTCGATTGTCATAACTTTCTTTATATTCTGATCATTGGCTGATCTTTCCAATAACGACTCTGTACTTTGATTGGATAAGTCAACAGCAATTGGAATACCACCAAAAGTTTGAATTTTAATTGGCTTATTTTGACATTTATTTATGGAATTTTGTTTTTTTGAAGTAGATAAAAATGGTTCTTTAAAAACTGACTGTTCCATCTCTTTCATGTCACTTTCGTTATTTTTTAATGGAACTGTTCCAGAATTAACAGGAGGTACAAAATTATATTGACAAGTAAATTCCATTGACTCTTCTCCTTTATCAGAAGCACACTCGACAGGTTCTTTTGATATTATATTTGAAGGAAAATTATACTTGCATGTAAATTCCATTTCTGTATCATTCATTATTGTTCTGTTTGGATTAAGTATCACATTATTATCATTATTACACTGAAATTCTGTATGATCACTTGATTGGTTGGTTTGTTGTTGCTGTGAAAAGTCTTGAATTTTGTTTAAAGGTTCATGATTAACAACAAAATTTACAAAAATGTTTTCCTTATTACTAACTGTTTCTTCTTTCCAGAACTTACTAGACTCCACAATTTTATTAGTCCAATTACAAGTCATCTCCATAGCTAAAGCAGACTGCTCATAAGTCTCTTTTGTTTTCTTCAGTATACTTTGTGGTTCAAGAGTATATTCTAAGTCCATCGCACTTTGATCAAATATTACTGTTTTATTTGTAATTTTTTGCTTATTTGTTTGAATGGTTTCAGTACGAATCCTTTCAAATGTAATACTCTGTGTTTTAAGTGATGAGGCTTCTGATTTTGTTGAATCTATATGGTCAACTTCTTCTTCATATGTGTTGTCCCATATAGTATTTCTTTCGGGATCATCAATGAAAGGTCTAAAAATAAAGGTTTATTTAAGAGATTTCTTCAAATTACTTGTTAATTATATACTTGATATAGTTGCTTGATGCAAAACTAACTCTTCTTGGCGGTGGATTAAGTGTAATATCTGAATTCACTTCCTCAGCCTCTAAAGAGTTTCTCGACTTTACTTTCTTGAGCTAAAACAATTATAACAACAAACTCTAATAAACTGAAAATAATAGAACAAAACACTCACAGATGAACGAAGTTTATATCGGGAACGAGTTTCCATTGTTACATCCAATTCAAATCTATAAAGAAAACCAATTAACGCCAACAATAAAAGAAAGAACAATCTTTAAAAATGGTGAACAAATGTTACAAAAACCTACTCTTTTTTATCATCCATCTCCATAATTTTTGCCCTAAATAAAGTTTTCAAGAAGCCGTTTTTGTTTTGTATTTCAAAAATTTGACAGATTAACGGCAAACTCATTTAAATATTTTTGGTGATATGCGTCCTTGTCAGATTACTGCTTATAAACAGAAACAGACGTATCAAAAGATTTTTAGAGGGTTTAGTTGATCTGTGGTAAGTCTTCTTCTTAAATTAATTTTGTGGCTAAAGCTACTAGAACTATCCGGCATAGATAGTTTTTCTACTCTTCCGTTTAACTCTCTTGAGTTGCTAGGATTGGGAGTTAAAAGTACAAGAATAATCACTAAAGTTAAGCAATGTTAAACATTCAGCCTCAAACCGGCGTAAATCCTTCGTAAATCATGGCGGTAGATCAGTAGGCTATTGAAAATGAGATCGCCAAATATCACGGTTCTGATTCCGCGTAAACAATTATTATTATAGTTGATAGCCGGATAGCTCTGGTAGCTGTGGTTAAAAAAACAAAATTTTCTAGTTCTTCTTCCTAATTAGTTTTTACGGCCTAAGCTGCCAGAATACTCTGATTCATGTTTTTTATTTCTTTATAATATTCTGATAGATATGAATAAAATTCTTAAATTCCCTCTTCATTCCGTTCAAAGATAACAAAAATACGGTACTTTCTTTGTAGATATATTTATTTAATAAACAAGGGTACTTTCCTTTATAGAGAAATGAATAATTACAACTATAATTACCTATTAAAATTAAATTTCGTTGTTTTTAGGAGAATATTAAAATTTAGTAAATTACCCATGATAATCATGATATTATTATCACTATTAAAAATGAATCAAGCTGGTTGTGTAAAAACGAATAGAGATTCAATCTCATCTAACTATATAATCTCGATTTGTGACATATTTTATCAAATCAAACATAAATCGCTGTATCGTTGATCGAACACCTGCAATAGCTGATTATAAAGCAATTGTTCTTAAGTAGGCACTTCTTAGAATTTCATTTATTTTATTAGTTTAAAATGTCGATTTGGTCGAACAAGCACCTTTACCCGTTTTAAGATTTAGTTTGTAGGCTCTATCATGGGTGAGTTTCAAATTTCTATATACATTTTGTGAAGTTAAAATATAGACATCAAATTAACATTTTTGGATAATTATTTTCCAATAAATCAATAAACAAATCTGTTCTTTTGGAAGATTATTTTTTTTATATTTGTCCATTATAAAGGTCCCCATATACTTCGGTTATTTTGCACGGTTAAAAGGACACTGTTCGGTTAAAAACTTTAGCGTATTTGAGTGTTCGGTCTTCGCCAGATATTTTAATCGTGGATTTTCATTTTTACCGCTATTACAGCCGCCACTACCAGCAAGTTGTTTCTAGAATATATTCAACAACGGCGCGGATAAAATGAATGTAGTGTATGGGGGCCTTTATTTAAATATATCTAAATAAATATAATTATTATGAGGACCGAGTAAGACTATGTGAAATTTTTAATTATCAAAAATATAAAAAATACAGGGTGGTCTAAACTCTATCCCGGAAACTTCGGCAGCATATTCTGCAGATAAGAATAAGTAAAAAAGTTCCTATAAATGTATGTCCTAAAATGCTTAGTTTCGGAGATACATGGTTTAGAAGTTTCATTTTTATTTAGATTTTATCGAAATTATTTGTGAAAACGTCAATATTTGGATGAAAATTGGTGTCTGGCAGTTTTTTGACAAAAAAAATTGATTTTGATGTCAATATGACTCCTATACTTATAGAGCGCACCACCTACAAATTTTTTAACTGGTTTTCGAAGATCAATAACTTTTCGTCTGTACCTGTATAAAACTACTGAGTAAAAAAATATACATTTACGACGTTTTTTTTTACGTAAAAAAGGTCCCTTGGTTAAAATCGCTACGAGTAATGATTCTCAAGATATTTGGAATCGAAATTATCAATACTTGTCATCATTAACATAAATGAAACATGTTGACTAAATAGTTATTAGACTCTTATTAGACTCTAATTAGACTCTTATTAGGCTCTTATTAGACTCTTATTAGACTTTTATTAGACTCTTTTAAGAAATTATATATCATAAATTTGAAATGTGTTTGTGCCAAAAGTTCAACAGATACTGTTTTATCATCATTTTCTCACAGAAAGATTTATGATTAATTTAAAAAAATAAAAATGTTCCAAATTTATTATTTCAGTCAAATAACTACCGTATGATCGAAAAAAAACGGCGTCCAGTTGGCTGGGAAATGACGATCGATGACATTTCCCATATAAAATGACAGCGATCTTCATTTCATAGCCATCGCTGACGCCGTTTTTTCTCGATGATACGCTATATCTAGTCAACCAAGTGTTTATTTTTTATTTTTTCAATAATGACATGTACATATTGACTATTTCCTGTAGCGGTTTTTATCAAGAGACATTTTTTTCGTAAAAAGTCGCATATACATATAGATATTTTTATAGAGGGTTGTTCACCACATACGACACGGGGTATTGTAGCTAAATGATTAGATTTTTACAAATTGTAAGTTTTGGGTTCGTTGAAGGATTATTAGAGCTACAATTTAAACATATTTTTACAAGATACAGAGTGTCCCAAATAAATAAAAAATATTAAAGTTGTATTTTTTTATATAGAACACCCTGTATATTATTACATTTTTAGTTTCTACGATTAAAATAAAGGTAAATTTGATTAAGGTTTATTACACTTAAACCTTTTTGAAATATTTTAAATTTTGTGAAATTGCAGTAAAAATTTTAAGGCTTCATTTCTCCAAGGGTATCAAAGTATCATCAAAGTTTTTAATACTAAATATTTACTGAAGTCTATTTATTGATCAGTTATTGTGTTGCAATAATAAAATTAATACTACCTCATACAGAGTGTCTAAAAATGTATTTTAAATTATTTCTTAAACGGCAATAACTTGTTTAATTTAAATGGAACGCCTTGTATATTTTAGGAGAATCAATGCACAATTTAATTGTCTATCAAATTGTGTTATACCACCTTTTACCTATCTCTTCAAGTTTTCGTAGAAAATGCATTTTCTTATATTTTAGACCTCATTTATCACTATACCCATGGAATATTGACATTTTAGATTGTTTTTAAAGCAACAAATGTACAAAATGTACAGGCTAGTAATATTATCGTTTTTAGCAAAATGATAATATTACTAGCCCATTTGTATTCAAAAAGAAACTATCTAAATATTTATAAAAGAGTATACCATTAATTAAATATACTACCACCATATTATTTCCGCCCAAATACTAATTAATTACATACTTAATTATGTTCGTTAATAAATTATTCTAAATACATGTGGATTTGAAGCAGAAATCAATATAACAATAAGTTATGAAAATGAATGTCTCTGTTGTTATAAATAAGCATTTGTCAAAAAACGAAATATTATTTTTAAGGTGTTACATGGGTGTTACTTTTTACCACACTGTCTAATACACTTTTTTTTTCCATAACAAAGGGCCGTCCTCTGCCGGAAACACTGCGACCTGTGAGGCCTATTGTGTTTGTCCCCCTTCTATATCTGCACCCATTCTCCTATCCCTGTGCCCTGCACTAGCTTATGCAGGTCCTTGATAGGATGGGAGCATAGTTCCTCCGGTTCTAGCCTAACTTTCCCAAATAAAGAGTGTCGCTTGCGATCCAGAGCCTCGCAATGACATATTATGTGCTCCGCTGTTTCAGGATCTTTATCGCAGAGTCTGCAGCAAAGACTTCCTTGATACAGGTTGAGCTTGTTCAGATAACACTTGACATGGGTGTTACTTTTTACCACACTGCCTAATACACTTACAAAATTCAGTTTTTTAGTATTTGGAGCAATTATTATTAATCAACGCAAACAGTCAATTAATGTAGTTTAAATAGTGATGGAATCATATTAATTGGTCCTCTTTAACAAATATTTAAACAGTTTTTTATTTTTTAATGAAATAAATAAACTATATCGACAATATTAATATCTGTACTCTTTAAAAATTTGGTACATCTTTAAAAATAATCTAATATGTCAGTATTCCATGGGTATATATTGATAAATGAGTTTTAAACTACAAGAAAATGCATTTTTTACGGAAACTTGAAGAGATAGGTAAAAAATGGTATAATACAATTTGATAGACAATTAAATTGTGCATCTGATTCCCCTAAAATGGATATACAGGATGTTCCATTTAAATTAAACAAGTTATTGCCGTTTAAAGCTAGTAATTATTTAAAATAAAATTTTAGACGCTCTGTATAAGGTCAATAAATAAACTTCAGTAAATATTTAATATTAAAAACTCTGATACCCTTGAGGAAATGAAACCTTAAAATTTTGACTGCAATTTCACGAAATTGAAAATATTTCAAAAACGGTAAGGTTTAAGTGTAGTAAACCTTTATCAAATTTACCTTTATTTTAATCGTAGAAACTAAAAATGTAATAATATACAGGGTGTTCCATTTAAAAAATACAACTTTGATATTTTTTATTTATTTGGGACACTCTGTATCTTGTAAAAATATTTTTAAATTGCAGCTCTAATAGTACTTCAACGAACCCAAAACTTACAATTTGTAAAAATCTAATCGCTTAGCTACAATCCTCCGTGACGTATGTGGTGAACAACCCTGTATAGTATATTTTTTCACCTAGTAGTTTTATGCAGGTACGGACGAAAAGTTATATTCTGCAGATGTTTTAAATAAATAATAGTTTCTATAAATAGAAGTATCCGAAATACAGTTCGGACCACCTTGTATATTGATAGGTACGTATGCAGGGTGTTTCAAAAAACATGTGCCGTCTCTCGTGAGGGTGCAGCCACACTATCCTAAAAACGGCGTATCGGCGTATCGGCGTAATGACCTTGAATAGATTTCCAGTAATTCTATTGGCTGAAACATTCATCTGTCAGAAATTTTATCTGTCAAATTCATCTGTCAAAAATTTCGGCCAATAGAATTACTGGAAATCGATTCAAGGTCGTTACGCCATTACGCCGATACGCCGTTTTTAGGATAGTGTGGCTGCACCCTGAAGGAATTTCTCATGCAAAAATAAGATTTATTTTTCATATTAACATAGATCCGATCCTGACTCGTTTCGTATCTACAGAAGGTTGAATTCTTCATTTTTTTTAGATTTATTATAAATTTCTTCCAAATGCTTGTAGCGATTCGAATTAAATTTTGAGGCTAAAAGTTAAAACTAAACTTATATCTACAAATTAAGCGTTTGTATAGGCGCTCAGTTGGCACTGACCAAGCGTGACAAACTAGCCAAGCGAGTAGACTAGAGCAAGTTAGAGACTAGTTTAGTTTTAATCATCTACTGATGATGCTAGAATGGTTAGCGAAAGGCGCGTCAAAATTAAAGTGTTTTGGTGTATGGCGGCGAATTATTGTTTTATTTTGCTACCCGGAAACTTTTTATTTTATCTTTTAACATAATATGTATCTTAAAACAATATTCAAAATCTAATTATTTATCGAAAAATTTATCAAAAAAAAGCACACGTGCATTTGTTGATTCATTGTAATTACAGCCATTCAAAAATTTGTAAACTATTTGATTTAATCAGATATATATATATGAATGCTATCGATTTAATGACCGATAATAACACCGAAGTATCGTCTGGTAATATAAAAGATTATAAGTGTTCTAAACAATTTTTGCAACTATTTACAGTCTAGCAATTTAAGTACTTTTCCACATAAAACACGGGAAAATTACCTAAATCTTAAAAAAACTTAATCTGAAATAACTTAAAAAAAATTTATTTTAGGTATAGAAACATGTATAATCAAAAAGTAACGAATTAAAAAACCTCTTCACTAGTGAAATAAAAAAGTGGGTTTCCATTTGAAAAAAATTATTTATGATCATTTTTTAATCGCTCAATTCGATGACAGCTACGGCCAATATTATATGACATTCAAACCATTTAATTTTTGAAATAGGCAGCTACATGTCACTAAATTTGTTGTTTAGGCTATACAGATTTTTTTGGCAGGCAGTTTATTTTTTCCTACAAAAATTTTAAATATTTTTTTCTCAAAAACGGTAAATGATAGATATAGAGTGTGTGACATCAAAATTCATAAAATTTTGTAGATAATTAAAATATGTAATAAAAAATGGGAGTACCCCTTTAAAATAAGAAAGTTGGTGTCAACTTCCGGTATTTCCGGAAGTGCCGCCATATTGAAAATATTTTTAATCGATAGATCTCGTTGTGAAACAGTGATTTGCAAAAAATCTCCGATCTAGATATTTTAGTTCTCTAGAAACTTCTAATGCACGCTCAGCCTGAGACACCCTGTATACATACATGCCCCCTAACTGAAGTTTTTTTTTGTATTTGGTTAAGTTATTATTACGCACGGTTATCGCACCTTTTTTATATCTAAACGAGCGTGTACCCGCGACTTCGTTCGCGTCGAATTAATCATTTGTAATGGTGATGATAAAGCAAAGCAAGAATTTCCATTAACATATAAACTGGATAAAATTTTCTCACATTTATGTCAGCATGAGAAAAAACAATATGGCGATATTATTATTTAACTTGGTAATATTTGAGGGGTAGTTTCATCTCGTTGGAATTTGACTTTCGAAAAATCCGTTTGCCAAAAATAAGCTTTTTACGTCAAGCAGTTTAAGCAGAATCGTGGTTAAGAAATTACCCAACTTTTTGGAACACCCTGTATGATTTTTTAAAAAATTTCACAATATGTAAAAAACCAAATAAATTATGCTTGTTCAAGCGTTTTCCCGAAAGACTAACCGTTTTTTAAATAACAAATATTGTAATATTTGAGGGGCGTTTTCACCCTCTTGAAATTTGAGATGAAACCCGTCCTTATCGTTTTAAACGTCAATTTCTGTTTTCCAGAAATCAGCTTTTTACGTCAAGCGGTTTAAGTAGGATCGTGATTAATCAATGACCAGATTTTTCGAAACACCCTGTATACATTTTTAAAAAATCTTAAAATATGTAAAAAACAAAATAAAATATACGTGTTTAAGCGTTTTTTCGGAAACTTGACCGTTTTTTAAATAAAAAATATTGTAATATTTGAGGGGTGGTTTCACCCTCTTGGATCTGGAATTTCGAAAAATCCCTTCTTATCGAACCTCTACACCCTAGAATCAACCAGTATGCCAAAATTGAGCTTCTGACGTTGAGTGGTTTAAGCAGGATCGTGATTAATCAGTATGTCAGTCACTTAAGGATTTTATATATTAGTATATAGATATTAAAATATTTTTATTTTTAGATATATATTTCGTCTTTTTTCTCCTATTTCTAACGCAAGAATGGAAAGTGTTTGCCGAAAATCCAGAGCCAAAGTGCAGCTTCTTGCACGTTTGTCACATAGATTCAAAAGGACACGGACAAAACTGCGTAAAGGAAACTGCGCCAATGGCCTTCAATAATTCTGGTGATGACTCCGCGGCTGTCAAAGAGAAACTTAGAGAATATTGTCCATTTTTCTTTGAAGGCGATTCTGAAGGTAAGATATACAAGGTTCGGCAATAGTGCGTCGGGCGTCTGTAGCTCCTACAATAAAAAACTTGTGAATTTTGTTTAAGTGCAGACCTGAAGTATGTACTAGGATGAATTTCAGGAAAATATTATAACTTCTATAGGGTGGCTCAAAAAAGTGTAATTGGATCAGGATGATTTTTTTTATATGTAACACCCTGTATATTATTGCATTTTTGGCTTCCTTTCAGATCACATTACATAATTCTAAGATATGAGTAAATACATTACGATAAATAAATAAAAATATATATTTTTTCCAGCCTTTCTTAATAAAAATATTAAAAATACAAGAACTGTCCTGAAACCTAAACTATATTAGGTATTTACTTTAAATGCTCTGTACTTACTTTGCTATAAAAATGGTAATCGTAAATCATGTAAATCATACAGGATGTTCAAAATTCTACACCAAACTTTCTAAAATATAAAATAATTTTTCTTCGTTTTTTTTAATGGAACACTCTGTATATTATTTTTTCAATAGATGGGGAGTTAAAAAATAAACACTTTTTTTATTTAAAATATATCAAAATTTGTAATAGTTTTGCAGATACACACAGTAACATGTTTTATTTCATATGGCTCTTTCAACGGTAAAATATGAGAGAAGAATTATTGGGTGGCTTTGATAAAAATTTACTGTGGAAAAATCTATATGAAATATAAAACCGGGAATATCTGCGAAACCGTTAAAAATTTTGAAATACTCTAAATACAAAGAATGTTCATTTTTTAATTCTCCATCTATTGAAAAAAATGATATACAGGGTTGTTCACGACACGGAGTATTGTAGCTAAACGATTAGATTTTTACAAATTGCAAGTTTTGGGATTGTTGAAAGACTATTAGAGCTCAATCACATCATAGTGTTGAACATAAAATGGCTAGTTTAAATTTATTAGTTCATAGATTACTTAGTTTCCCACTTTCCAACGAAAGATATGAAATAGAAAGAGATTACATTAGGAATGTAGCTGAGTGTAATGGATATTCTCCTTCACTAGTTGATAAATTAATTAGAAAAGGTAGGTATAGGTTAATGATTTCTGAAAATTCGACTTTTCAAGATACGTCTAAATATTTTTCGATACCGTTTGATAGAGAGTTATCCCGTGGTCTAAAAGGAATTTTTAAGAATGTCAATTATAAACTTGTGTATAGTGCTAATAATAAATTACAACAATTATTAGGTAATCCAAAGGATAAAACACCTCGACTGGAAAGGTCGGGTATATATGAAATTTCTTGTAAAGATTGTAATCAGAAATATGTTGGGCAAATTTGAAGATCAATATTACTTTAAAGAACATTTAGCTCAGATAAGATGTGGTAGACCGGATAAATATTGCGTTGCCGAACATATTGTTGATAAAGAACATTGTATAGATCTTAATAATTTAAAATTAATTAAACAAGTTTCAAATTACAAGCAATTAGATGCATATGAAAGCATCAAAATCAATAAATGTAAAGATAGTATGAACAGAGACAACGGTCCAATTCCTTTAAGTTCTTTGTTCCTACTACTCTAGTGGCGGAAATCTAACTGTTACGCTCAGTGGGCTTTGACTCGGTTGGCTAGATTTTGCCACGCCCACTCGGTGCCCACTGAGCGAGTATATAAACGCTCAACTTGTAGATTGTACTTTAGTTTATAATCATCTGCTGATGATGCTAACATGGTTAGCGAAACGCGCGTCCAGTGTAAAAGTAAAAGTGTTTTGGTGTATTGTGGTGATTTAGTGTTTTTATTTTGCTGTGTAACACCAAAGGTTCCAACCCTCAACTGTAATTAGACAGTGTGGTAAATAGTAACACCTTATAAGTTTTATTTCATTTTTTGACGAATGCTTATTTATAAAAACAGAGACGTTCATTTTCATAACTTATTATATTGATTTCTAAGTCAAATCTACATTTATTTAGAATATTTTATTAATTAAAACAATTTAAAAGTATGTAATTAACTAATTTTTAGTCGGAAATAATGGTGGTATATAATTTATTTAATTGGTATACTCTTTCACACATTTCACAAAGATAGTTTTTTTTGTATACCAATGGGTTTGCAATATTTACCACCTACACATTTTGTACATATATGTTGCTTTAAAAAAATCTGAAATGTCAATATTCCATAGGTATAGAGATAAATGAGGTCTAAATTATAAGAATATGCATTTTCTACGAAAACTTGAAGAGATAGGTAAGAAATGGTATAATACAATCTGATAGACAATTACATTGGGCATCTGATTCACGTAAAATATATAGGGTGTTCAATTTAAATTAAACAAATTATTGCCGTTTAAAGCTAGTACTTATTTAATATAATTTTTTGGCACTCTGTATAAGGTAGTAAAATTTTTATTATTGCAATATAATATCTGATCAATAAATAATCTTCAGTAAATATTTAGTATTAAAAATTTTGATACCCTTGGGGAAATGAAGCCTTAAAATTTTTACTGCAATTTCATAAAATTGAAAATATTTCAAAAACGGTAAGGTTTAAGTGTGATAAACCTTAATCAAATTTACCTTTATTTCAATCGGAAAATCCAAAAATAGAATAATATACAGGGTGTTCCATTTAAGAAAATACAACTATAATATTTTTTACTTATTTGGGACACTCTGTATCTTTAAAAATATTTTTTAATTGTAGCTCTAATAGTCCTTCAACGAACCCAAAACTTACAACTTTTAAAAATCTAATCGTTTAACTACAATACGTCGTATGTGGCGAACAACCCTGTATAGGGTGTTCCATGTTCCATTATTAAACAAACAAAGAAACACTATTTTATATTTCAGAAAGTTTGGCGTAGAATTTTGAACAGCCTGTATGATTTACGATTACCATATTTATAGCAAAGTAAGTATAGACTATCTAAAGTAAATATGTAATATAGTTTGATTTCAGGACTGTTCTTGCATTTTTAATATTTTTTTTTAACAAAGGCTTAAAAATAAATATTTTTTTATTTATTTATTAATATATGTATATCTCTGAAACTATCGAAATACATTTACTTATATCTTAGGATTATGTAAAGTGATCTGAAAGGAAGCTAAAAATGCAATAAATATACAGGGTGTTAAACTAAAAAAAAATCATCTTGATCCACTCACACTTTTTTGAGCCATCCTATAGAAGTTAAAATCTAGGAGTACCTTAGGAGTATCTCTAGTGTTTGCCCACTGAGCGAGTATATAAACGCTCAACTTGTAGATTGTAATTTTAGTTTATAATCATTCAAGTTGATGATGCTAATGGTTAGCGAAACGCGCGTCCATGTAAAGTAAAAGTGTTTTGGTGTATTGTGGTGATTTAGTGTTTTATTTTGCTGTGTAACAATTGTAAGGTTCCAAACCTCAACTGTAATTAGACAGTGTGGTAAATAGTAACAATCTTTGTAGGTTTTATTTCATTTTTGACGAATGCTTATTTATATAAAAAATAGATTTTTTTTTTTTTTTTTTTTTTTTTTTTAATTAACTAATTTTTAGTCGGAAATAATGGTGGTATATTATTTATTTAATTGGTGTACTGTTTCACATATTTCACAAAGATTTAAATAGTTTTTTTTTGTATACCAATGGGCTTGCAATATTTACCACCTACACATTTTGTACATATATGTTGCTTTAAAAAAATCTGAAATGTCAATATTCCATGGGTAGATAGAGATAATTAAATGAGGTCTAAATTATAAGAAAATGCATTTTCTACGAAAACTTGAAGAGATAGATAAGAAATGGTATAATACAATCTGATAGACAATTACATTGTGCATCTGATTCACGTAAAATATATAGGGTGTTCTATTTAAATTAAACAAGTTATTGCCGTTTAAAGCTAGTAATTATTTAATATAATTTTTGGCACTCTGTACAAGGTAGTAAAATTTTTATTATTGCAATATAATATCTGATCAATAAATAATCTTCAGTAAATATTTAGTATTAAAAATTTTGATACCCTTGGAGAAATGAAGCCTTAAAATTTTTACTGCAATTTCATAAAATTGAAAATATTTCAAAAACGGTAAGGTTTAACTGTGATAAACCTTAATCAAATTTACCTTTATTTCAATCGGAGAATCCAAAAATAGAATAATATACAGAGTGTTCCATTTAAGAAAAATACAACTATAATATTTTTTACTTATTTGGGACACTCTGTATCTTTTAAAAATATTTTTTAATTGTAGCTCTAATAGTCCTTCAACGAACCCAAAACTTACAACTTTTAAAAATCTAATCGTTTAACTACAATACTTCGCGTCGTATGTGGCGAACAACCCTGTATAGGGTGTTCCATGTTCCATTATTAAACAAACCAAGAAACACTATTTTATATTTTAGAAAGTTTGGCGTAGAATTTTGAACATCCTGTATGATTTACGATTACCATATTTATAGCAAAGTAAGTATAGACTATCTAAAGTAAATATGTAATATAGTTTGATTTCAGGACTGTTCTTGCATTTTTAATATTTTTTTTTAAGAAAGGCTTAAAAATAAATATTTTTTTATTTATTTATTAATATATGTATATCTCTGAAACTATCGAAATACATTTACTTATATCTTAGGATTATGTAAAGTGATCTGAAAGGAAGCTAAAAATGCAATAAATATACAGGGTGTTAAACTAAAAAATAAACATCTTGATCCACTCACACTTTTTTGAGCCATCCTATAGAAGTTAAAATCTAGGAGTACCTTAGGAGTATCTCTAGTGTTTGAATTTACACCAAAGGTTCCAATCTTAATTCTGCAAATATAAAAACCTGATGTAAAATTAGATTTGTCTGTTTCAGATCCTATTGAATTATGTTGCGACAATGAGCAAATCAATTTTATGACTGACGGATTCAAGAATTCGGCGCCTTTCGCCAGATGTCCGACCTGCGTCAAGAATCTCCAGAAATTCTTCTGCTTGGTGGCTTGCTCGCCGTATCAGTATTACATGACATCGAGCTATACGACCAAAACTGAGCAAGGAAAAGGTAAGTTAACATTACATACTTCTTCTTATAGTACCATCTTCTAATGAAGTTTGGCAACAATCGCGAAGAAACACTGTCTGTCCTGTGCAGCTCGAAACAGTTCGTGTGAGTTCAGTCCAGTCCAGTCTCGTAAGTTTTTCAACCAAGAGTGCTTGCTGCTTGTCTCTCCCAAGTCCTCTTCTGCCTTCTACCTTTCTTTTTATAATTAACTTCAGAAGCGACATTGCTAACATAAACATCGGTATTAAAATCTGTCTTTTTGCGGACGACACTAGCTTCACTTGGAGCAACAAGGACGTCGCGGCACTTCATAAGATTATATCAAATGACTTAATCACCATTAAATCTTGGTGCGATTTGAACATCCTGAGTCTCAACATTTCTAAAACTAAAGCTTTGTCGTATAAAAACTCGCTGCAGCCTTTTGTACTTAACAACATCACCATTGACGTCGTAAAATCTGTAAAATTCTTAGGGCTTGTTGTAGACAATTCTCTGAAATGGGACATGCTTTGTCGAAAAAATTAAGCTCAGCCTCAGATCTGTCTCTAAGGAACTTAACTTGTCAGTGGCAGAACTGTTTATTATGCACTTTTTGAGTCGCACCTCAGGTATGCCCTTCCATTCTGGGGTTGTGAGACTCAATTTGACTGCATTTTCAAGCTCCTGAAGAGAGCTGTTCGATATTCACTGGGACTAAACAGCAGAACTCATTGCCAGGACTTCTTTAAAAAATTAAAAATATTAACTCTGCCTTCCTTATTTATATTTGAATCCGTTTGCCTAATACGTAAACATGTATCAGCTTCTCAAGAAAGGCCATCTCACACTTATTCATTCAGGAAGGTGGAGCAAGATCTTTATCTAAAGTTATTTTAATTTCCCTATACCTACCCCACGCTCAGAGTTAGTTAAAAGTTCAATATTATACAACTCGAAAAAAAATGCACAATCACCTGCCATTTAAAATCAAATCCATAGCATCATTTTCTTCATTTCGCAAAGCATTGAAATCTTATTTACTAGACAAGACTTTCTACGCCTTAAATGACTTATATTTTGATAATCGAATTTGATCTTGTAAACACTGGTCTAATGTTTGCTATTACTATATTTACTATAAACTTACTAAATATTTTTGAATCTTATTTATATTTCTTTTTATTCTTTGACATTGTAAACATTTATAAATGTTTATTTTCAACAATCAGACAGACAATGTAATTTGTATACTTGTTTTGTATTCTCTTTTGTTTGCTTACTTTGTTTGTTTACTTTACCTTTATCTACAAATTTTAAATTTTTTTCACAATAAAGGCATTTATTTATTTTAAGCTTTGCTCTACTATTGCGCATGACATGACCCAGGTATGCTGTCTTTTGTTTTTTATATCTGTCAGTAATTCCCTTTCCTTGTTAAGCCTCCCAAGAACTTCTTCATTGCGTACCATGATCTGTCCAGGGTATTTTCAAGATTCTTCTGTAGATTCACAGTTCAAAAGCTTCCAACCGTCTCATGGTGTTCACTTTAAGCGTCCATGTCTCATAGCCGTATAAGAGGATTGAGTATACTTAGGCGCTCTAAAAAGCATATTCTACATTGATTTTTATTTGGGGCCCCCCCTAAAATAAATTCCTGTATCCGCCCCTGATACGTACTCCATGCTAACTTAATTCTTCTGTTGATTTCTGAAAGTAGAAGTCTAAAAATTTATATTAAATATATAATTACTAGCTTTAAACGGAAATAACTTGTTTAATTTAAATGGAACACCCTGTATAGTTTACGTGAATCAGATGCTCAATTTAATTGTCTATCAAATTGTATTATAGTTTTAGTTGAAAATGCATTTTCTTATAATTTAGACCTGTAATTTAAATAAAAAATAATTTTTAAAATTGCAACACAAAATTTAGTAAATAGAAAAACTTCAGTACAATATTTGGTTTTGAAAACTTAAATACTACCACAGAATATCTAGCTACGCAAATACTACTAAAGAAATGAAGCATTAAAATTGTTACTACATTTTTATTTTTACAAAATCGTAAATATTTCAAAAGCGTTAAGATTAAAGTGTAGTAAACCTAATCAAATTTACCTTTATTTTAATCGTAGAAACTAAAAATGTAAAAATATACAGGGCGTTCCATTTAAAAAAATACATCTTTAATATTTTTTATTTATTTGGGACACTCTGTACCTTTTGAAAATAATTTTAAACTGTAGCTTTAGTAGTCCTCGAACGATACCATCACTCACAAATTTCCAATTTTTCCAAAATCTGTTTGCCAGACTGTATCGTGGGCATTCCTCATGCATTTAAGTGTCTAGGGACAATACTAAATTTTTTCTTCAAACTTGTTCTTTTGTTATTTTCCTCATATTTTAGAATACACTGATGTAGTCACAATCTCCACTCCTCAAGAAACCATGGATGCCGTGTACGATTCCTGCAAAGATGTCTCTCTACCAAGTACCGGCGAAGCAGTACTACAAAGCGCTTGTGGAAACTACGGTGCTATTTGGTGCACTCCTCTAAGGTGAGACTTACAGAGATATAACAAATAGATGCGAGTAGTGTTGCAAAATGCACGAGAAAAAATACTAATATTACTCTAAAAGTTTAGTTACACTTTCGTTTTAAAGGCCCTATTTTTAAAACATTTCTTGTTTCGTATTTGGATGGTGTACCTTAATATTATAAAAACATATGCATCTCATATTCTAGGTGGTTTTTATATATGAACGATCCTGATCAAAACCCTTTTGCTCCGTATAAGATGCAGTTTAATACTACAATAACGGGATTATATACACCTTTAGATTATAAGGTTCTAACGTGCAGCGAAGCTTATGTAAGTATAATTAGGTATACGTATTATGTAAGTATAATTATTTCGTGGCACAAAACCTGTCCGAGATGTAGCTGGCGTTACCGTCAGCCTGTCCGAGAATTTCGAGATGTAGTTCAACTCTGCACCGCTGCGCGTTCGTAGTCGTTTACAGCGCAGCGGATAAAGAATACTATACCGTAGTTCTGTTTTCCGGTCGACAGAGTGAATGGGTTTTTCGGAGACAGTGTTGCCAGAACTACTGATTAATCCGTAGATTTATGGATTTTGGGTACAGTACGGTAATAATACGGATTTTCTATTATTAAACAATTTAATATAATATTATATAATTAAACAAAGGACGGCGTCAGAGTTGGCATGGAAATGAAGATCGCTGTTATTTCATATGTAAAATATTATGGTAAATGTCAATTGTCGTCATTTCCGAGCCAAATAAACGACTTTTTTCGATCATACGACATATTCAGTACCTACGAAAGCATTTTTATTTTTGTTGTTTATTCTATGTTTGACACGAATAAATTTTCAAAACATAAACGCGGATATTTCATCCAAAGATATTTTCGTTAAACGTATTACACATTTTAATACGGCAACACTGTCGCTTTCAGATACACACCGTCTTCGATATGGCTTCGCGAATGGCCGAATTAGAGAAAATAAGTGTTTTATGCGTTGATCGTAGAACGATTGGTGTCTCCACCGTACGGCGCTTGAGATATAAGGGGAAATCAAATCAGCCTTGTCAAGAATTCGCCCATTAGATTGCGAATGTCAACGCTTATACTCAACTCTAGTATACTGACAATATTTGTTGAACTTGTATTATTTTTTAGGACAATTCGTCAGCTTGCAGTTGCTCGGACTGTCCAGTGAATTGTCCGGAAAACCTGTACACCAGTATACATACAGACTATAATATATTTAGTAATATTAACGAATATTCATTTTATACCTCAATTTCTCTATTACTCATAGGCTGTTTAGCCTTTATTGGAATTTCTATACTTCAAAAAATTAACTTGCTGACTCGAAGTAAGTAATTATATATGATAACTTTAAATATTTATAATCTGGTCATGTGTGGAGAATAAAATATTTTCTCACACTATAAAAAAAACTATCAGGGTGCAAAACAAAATATTTTTTTATTTTTTATTCGATTATTTTTAGGAAACAGGCAAATTAATACAAATAAACCTCCTTTTGGTGAAAAAGTTCACGATGCCTTATACAGATACTTTAAAGCATTTGGTATAAGTAAGTATTCTTAATCTATATTTTAAACAATTAAAGCAATAAAAAGAAAGCTGATATTTTAGGCTGGGTGACAATAACAGTTTTAACTGTTATTTGAGAATAACAGTCACTCTATAACTTATTTTAATTTAATTGCAATAAGGGTGAAACCTGCTATTTTAAGCTGTTACTTTTAAAAAACAATAACATTTCCAACTGTTATTTGACAATAACAGTTTTGTACCACCTCTAGAATTTATATTTATTTCTAGTAATGGCTTCCTGGCCCAAAACAGTGATCCTATCAGGAATGGCGCTAAGTGCCGCTTTATCTATTGGTTGTATATACCTCCAAGTAACTACCAATCCTATAGAATTATGGGCATCTCCTACCAGTCAAAGCAGAAAGGAGAAAGACTACTTCGATACGTATTTTTCTCCATTTTACAGAACCAATCAGGTGTTCATCAAAACTGCAGGTCTAAGTTTTGTAAGTAACAATTTTCATTAAACAAGTTGATATTGATTTATCCTTATTTCGTAAAAATAGAGTCAAACAAAATATGATTGTTTAGCCTCTTTTTTGCCTTTTCGTTGATAATAATACCAACATTTAATACACTTCTAAACTTCTAAGTTGGTTTTATAGTTTTCTTTTAGCTCTACTTATGGTGGAGACATTTTGCTTGGACCTGCATTCCATGAAGAATTTTTGGAAGAGGTGTTTTTGTTGCAAAAGCAGATTGAAAACGTAAGTTTATACCACACCGGAAAAGTCTAGGGATATTACAATTTTATCCAGCCATCGTCAGTAATTTTATTATTTGCATTTCTGATATAATAAAATTAAAATTAATTAACAGGACGTATTGGAAATAAAAATGCGAAATTTACCGAATTTTTCAAATTTACCTTGATTTTTATTGAACTCAAAAAAACACACATTTTTTTTATTTTAAACTGTGAATTAAAAAAAAAGATAAAACCATTTTTACTTAATAAAGGGTATGGCCTCTTCTACTGTTCATTACAGCCCTATATCGTCTCTCCATGCTCCCGATCAGGTTGTCGATCTCTCCTTGAGGTACAGGCTGCCACGCTGCATTCACGGCCCGAACCAGATCCTTACGAGTTTCACGAGGCATACCCATTCTCAAAATTCTTCTTTGGACCGCGCCCCATACGTGCTCGATGGGTTTGAGGTCAGGAGATTGTGCCAGCCGGGATAAGATGTTTAATTGATGAGCATTGATAAACTCACTTACCACTCTGGCTGTATGAGGCCGTGCATTGTCATGCATGAGAATGAAGTTTCTCCCAAAATCATTGGCATATGGTAACACGACAGGCTCAAGAATTAAATCACGATATGTGATTCTTGTTAGAAACCTTTCAAGAAAAACGAGATCGGTTTTTCGGCCTAACTGGACTCCTCCCCAGACCATAACTGTTCCACCTTGATAAGGGTGCACTTCCTGAACATGATCCAACCGAATAAGATTTCCCGGTTCTCTCCATACCCTAAGCCTTCTCGAATCCGGATGAATTCCAAAGCGTGACTCATCCGTGAAGAGAACATTGGCCGATTGTTCATTCGACCACTGAACATGATCTTGAGCCCATAAATATCGTACCTCTCGATTTCCTCTCGTTAAGGGTTGAGCTCTCCAGGGGCGTCTGCTTCTTAAGTTGACCTCCCTTAATCTATTGCGAACAGTGTCAGGACTAACGGTTATATTATTGTGTTTCCTAGAGAATTAAACTAAGCTCTGGTGCTGTAAGAGTCGGTCGGCGTCGAGCATTTAATTGTAAAAAATGATCTTGCTGAGGGGTAGTAATGCGATGTCGCCCTGTGTGCCTTTCAGCAACATTACCACTTTCACGGTAGCATGCACTTAATCGCGATATTACACTTTGCGTTGTATTTAATGCTCTAGCTACGTCGATTTGGCGCATTCCAGCTTCGAGTATACCCATGGCCCTTAGCATTTCGTCTCTGTTAAGATGTCTACGCTCCATAATGTCGTTTAATACTAAACAGAGTTATTTGAATGAATTCTGGCCAGTTATCATAAAAACATAGCCAGTACAGGTTAAATTCGAACAATTGATGCTAGGTGCTTTTTATACATTTGACAAAAAATGCCCAAATACTTCTGCAAATATCCCAAATTTAGAAATAACTAGTGTGACTACTTCGTTTCAATCGAAGTAGAAAGAATCGGCCTACAAATATGTGGTTGTTTATTCAAAACATTTATTTTTAACTTTAATAAAATGATATCCCTAGATTTTGTGGTGTGTGTATTTTTTTCATTTGTTGTATTTTTTAGCAGTATACAGGGTGTTTACTTTTAGCTTTTCGAATGAAATTTTGAGGGTAAAAGTTATTATAAATGAGACATATTTTAAAGTTAAAAAAGTGTCGACATATTCATCAGGGACGTGCATATGGGTTATCACTGGAATATTTTTCTAAAAAAAGCATATACGCCACTGACTTTTTTTTTTCTTGTTAGCGAAATAGTGTAAGCAGCTTAATGCCGATTAAAATTTGTCTCTTGATATTTTGTTGATTTCGGCCGCCTTGATGAGATAAACGCAATTTTATAAATTTGCCTTGATCGTCCAATTTGCCTTGATCGTCCAAGTCCAATAGCAACCTTTAAAAACTTTTAATATCATTAACTTGCGAAAGTTTTAAATAAGTACTCATTGATTCTTACTCAAAAAATATAAAAAAAAGTTCTTATAAAGATGGGTATGGAAATGTATAGTTTTAGAGTTACAGGATGTTAAACCTTTTTAAAATTAGTTTTTTTGTAATTATCTTAAATACCATTCTTTTTTTAATTGAAATTGCTGTAGGTTGGACTAATAGTAATAATAACTAATAATAATAAAAATTTTAATAAATTTGGTAAAATATATAATTTATGAATTTAATTTTTATTTTAATTTTATTATTTGTGATTAATAAAATTGCGTTTATCTCATCAAGGAGGCCGAATTCAACAAAATATCAAGATATAACTTTTAATCGGCATTAAAGAGCCTACACAATTTTGATATCAAAAGAAAAAAGTCAGTAGCGTACAGTGTTTTTTTTTGAAAAATATCCCAGTGATAACCCATATGCACGTCCCTGATGAATTAATCGACACTATTTTAGCATTAAAATATGTAGCACTTATAGTAACTTTTACCCTTAAAATTTTTCTATCGAATCACTAAAAGTACTTGGAAGAAAATTATAATAAATCGAAAGATTATTAAAACTTTAACACCCTGTAGCTACGAAAAAAGCAGAATCGTGCTTATGTTGATATGAAAATTAAATCTTATTTTTACGTGAGGAATCTCCCCACGAGAGAAGGTACATGTTTTTTGAAACACCCTGTATAAATATATTATTATTAATAATATTCAGGGTGAGTCTTATATAAGTCCAAATATTTTCAGGGCTGGTAGATCTAGATAAAAGAAACATATTTTCTCTTTACCGTTTTTCAAATAAGTCCAAAATAACTTAGTTATTTTACTTTGAAAATTTCAGAAAAAAAATGATTTTTTGAGATGAAATCTTGAGAACCACTGGATCTTTTCTGAATTTTCTTTCTTGTAAAATTAGTCTACTATCTATGTTGCCATGTTATCCTGAAATTACGGTTTTTAACTAAAAAGTAAAAAAAAATACAAATTTTTAAAGAAAAATGCGAGAAATCACCCACCGAAATACGGTCGTGCATTTTGAAACACCATGTATATTTACACCTGCAAGTAATTAAACGAAAAAAAAAGATAACCCACCTGTTTTGAACAGGTGTTTAATCTAAACAATATATTTGTTTAAATATTAAACCTTTGAAAAATAACTTAAAATGCAGACAGTTTTAAAATTAAATTTAATCAGCAACTTTTTAATCTAAGTCAGAAATAAAAAGAACACCTGAACGTCAAGTACATACCTCATGTACAGAGTTATAAGGTTGCGGATTGCCCAAAAAAATCTATAGTAAATATTTCGTATATTTTTTACATGAATTGGATGCTTTTGGCTGGTAATTATTGAGATGGTAACTTAATTAATAATAATTAAAAAAAAAACAATTTCAACAATATCATTTTTATACACTCATATTATGCAAAAAATCCAAACGACAAATTTTTGGTCTAGTTTAAAATGCTATATTTTTTATTTTTAGCCCTATTTCCTTAATTTTTTTACCAAACTATATACAGGGTCCGGCAATAGTGCGTCGGGCATCTGTAGCCCCTAAAATAAAAAACTTGGAAATTTTGTTTAAGTGCAAACCTAAATTATGTACTAGGATGTATTTCAGGAAAATATTTTAACTTCTATAGGGTGGCTCAAAAAGTGTGAGTGGATCGGGATGATTTTTTTTAAACGGAACACCCTGTATATTACTGCATTTTTGGCTTCCTTTCAGATCACTTTACATAATCCTAAGACATGAATAAATATATTTCGATAATTTCAGAGATATTAATAAATAAATATAAATTTTATATTTTTCAGCCTTTCTTAATAAAATTATTAAAAATACCAAGAACTGCCCTGAAATCAAAACTATATTAGACATTTACTTAGATGGTCTGTACTTACTTTGCTATAAATATGGAAATCGTAAATCGTACAGGCTGTTCAAAATTCTACGCCAAACTTTCTAAAATATAAAATAATTTTTCTTTGTTTTTTTTTTAAATGGAACACCCTGTATATTATTTTTTCAATAGATAGAGAATTAAAAAATGAAGATTTTTTATATTTAGAGTATTTCAAAATTTTTAACGGTTTCCAGATATTCCCGGTTGTGTTTTTCATATGGCATTTTCACAGTAAATTTTTATCAAAGCCAACCAATGATTTTTCTCTCGTATTTTACCATTGAAAGCGCCATATGAAATAATACTGCGTGTATCCGGAAAACCATTAAAAATTTTGAAATACTTTAAATACAAAAAATGTTCATTTTTTAATTCTCTATCTATTGAAAAGATAATACACAGGGTGTTCCATTTAAAAAACGAAGACAAATTATTTTATATTTTTGAAAGTAAGAACAGACCATCTAAAGTAAATACCTATTATAGTTTTGATTTCAGAACAGTTCTTGTATTTTTAATATATTTTTTTAAGAATGGTTGAAAAATATACATTTTTGATTTATTTTTTAATATCTCTGAAACGATCGAAATAGAGTTACTCATATCTTAGGATTATGTAAAGTGATATGAAAAGAAGCCAAAAATGCAATAATATACAGGGTGTTTCATTTTAAAAAAATCATCCAGATCCACTCACACTTTTTTGAGCCACCCTATAGAAGTGAAAATATTTTCCGGAAATACGTCCTGGTACATACTTTTGGTTTGTACTTAAACAAAATTCTCAAATTATTTATTCTAGGAGCTACAGATGCCCGACGCACTATTGCCGGACCCTGTATACAGGGTGGCGCACCTCATTCGCATCGGTTGATTATACGAAAACGGAATGATCTAGAAACAAAATATTTTATGGGTATATGTGGGGAGGCAATTTAAAATTATTTTGAAATATACAGGGTGTTTTTATTTTAAGGGTTAAATATGTTTATAATCTTTGGTTTTTGAGATATTTAAAGATATTTAAATTTGCAGGCTACAATGGAATAGATTATTAACACCCTGTACATTACTTTTCAGAATTAATTCTTGTGCAGAAGGTTGAAGGTAGTTTAAAGGTAGAGAAATAAACTTTACAGAAAAATGTTATTGCTTCCTTAAATTTATACAGGAGTATCAAAAATTGCTGATCTATTTGACGAATTTATTTTACATAAAAACTTCGTTATTTCAAATACAACACCCTGTATTTTTTTACTTAAATCGAAGCAGATTCAAATGCTCTTTTAAATTATATTAGAGTTTCCTATACCTATCTAGCTGAGATTTTGAATAAAGCATTTTTTCAATAAAATGGCAACCAAGAGGGCCAGTGTGGTCATGGCAAGTTTCTAGTGACAGTAGCTATTTTCAAAATCGAAATTAGTTTATGGACTTATTTAAATTTATACCAGTTTACTTTTATTTAATTTACCTACAATAGTTTAATAAATAATATTTATTAAATATGTATTCATTATTCTATCAAGAAAAACGAAGAAATAGTTCTTTGGTTTATTTTACGATGATTGGTAGATTTGTAGATATATGGATTTTCTATAAAAGAGCCAATTACGGCAAATTCATTTTCTTCGCTTCCAACGACAGGTTTCTGCCTAATAGGTTTTTTATAAACCACACTACCAGCTCTGCGAAATAGGACAAGTAGTTTTTCAAACGAACGCTTATCAAGAAGATTTCTATTTGGATTTATCTTTGAGCATAAGCCCTTGAGGCCAAGAGGCAATTTTCCTCACAAAATAAAATCACTAGTAACATATCTACTGCTTTATTTTTCTTGATAAAATAATGAATACTTACTTATTAAACTGTTGTAGGTACATTTAAGGAAACTGTTATAAATTATAAATAATAATATCCATAAACTAATGTCGACTTTGAAAATAGTTACTAACTGTCACTAATAAATTGCCATGGCGACACCAGTCATTTTGATTCCAATTTTATTTAAAAATCGCTTTTTATTCAAAATTTGAGATTCTATTCTCTATAGAAAACCCTAATATAGTTTAAAAGAGCATTTGAATCTGCTTCGATTTATTTAAAAAAATACAGGATGTTGCATTTGAAATAATGAAGTTTTTATATAAAATATATCCTTAAAATAGATCAGCAACTTTTGATAGCCCTGTATAAATTTAAGAGAGCAATAACATTTTTCTGTAAAGTTTATTTCTTTACCTTTAAACTCAGCACAGAATTAATTCTGAAAAGTAATGTACAGGGTGTTAATAATCTGTTCTATCTTTAAATATCTCAAAAACTAAAAATTTTAAACATATTAAACCCTTATAAAAAATGACCCTTGTTGGGTACAAGAATCCAAAAATGAAATAAAATACCGGGTGTTCCATAAAAAAAATATAACTTTGGTATGGATCTTAGTTCTGAAACACCCTGTATATTTCAAAATAATTTTAAATTGTGCACATTGCCTCCCCACATATAGCCATATAATATTTTGTTTCTAAATCTTTTAGTTTTTTTTTGCTTCTGAGTGTAGTTTGAAGTTGTTGTTTTTTACAGATAACAGTGGAAGTGGATGGAGAAACTATAGGACTAAAAGATATATGTTATTCGCCTTTACGGACGCCTTTTGATGGCGAAAAGACCATAGATGAGTGTGCCATCATGTCGGTTTTGGGATACTTCTCCGGCATTGACCAGTACAAGAAAGATATACACAATAGTACGGAAAAAATCATTGGATGTTTACAGTAAGATTTAAATCCAAAAATATGTATTATTATTATTACTCAAAATTACTTACTTACCTACTGCCATTCAAGGGTGGATGGGGAAGTGGAAACCGGCCCGGGAAAAACAGGCAACCGGCCCAAATCCACAAAAACAAAATGACCATAACGAAGAAACATATTTTATTTATTAATATTATAAGTAAAGGTGTTTTTCGCTCGTGCGAAAAAGCTCTTTTTTCCTCCGGTTTAAAAAAAAATAAATTGTCTTGATGAAAATTTTCGTAAAGACCAATATTGGGTCGGACATCTGAATATTTACTACAAAATGGCTCAGTTTTACAGGGTTCTACCGCTATATTTCCATTATCGAGAACGGTAATTTGATCTTGAATAGGCTACGATTTTAACTCACGATTTTGAGAAACTTTAAGACTTCCTGATTCATTCAGCTGACCCAATCCTCTGTGAAATACATTAATTACTTTTAGCTTTTCGGGTATATATTTTCTTACACATTGTAGGAAAAAATTCTCTCTTTCAGGGCCGGATCTACCTACGGGCTGTTTGGGCTGCAGCCCAGGGCCCCGAGGTTACAAGGGGCCCCCAGGCTCCGCGAAAAACAATAGACCCATAGGTGGGAACTGTTGAATCGTGAAATAAAATTAAAATTCAGGTTAAAAGTTTAAGCCAGACAAGATGGCCCCTTGCCACTGTGATGCTGTCAAAGCCTTAAAAAATAACTATGATGACATTATGAAAATTTTCAAAAGTTTCAGCGAAAATGAGGTTGAGAAAGTTGATTTCCGGAAAGAGGCACGAAATTTATTCAATAAAATGGCGAAACTCGAGACTGCAATTTTGATTATCTTTTGGGAAGAAGTTTTGGAGAGATTTCATTTAGTTAATAAAAAATACAGAGCCCTGGTTTAGACATTTGTGAAGGCAACAAGTTAATTGTTTCTTTAAAAGACTTTGTGAGCAACATACGACATCAATCAGATCAAATGTTACAGGAATACGACGAAAAAGCTAAAAAATTAAGTACTAGTGTAATAATAGACTACAATTACATAAACAAGAGACGCATTATCCCAAAATTTTCAGATAAGTCTACAGGTGAATTCTCAGTATACGGCGCAGAAAGATTTAAAGAGACACGTTAAAAGTTGCGTTGGATAAGCTGATTATGGATTTAAATAAAAGGAGACAAGTCTATGAGACATATAGCAAAAAATTCAAATTTTTAATGGATTTGCAAGACAAAAATATCGAAAACATAGATTTGGAAATTGCACGTCATATTATTGATTACTATCCCGATGACGTAGACGAGCATTTAGTGAATGAGTGCATTCAATTAAAATCGTACTTACTCCAATCTATGTCTGAGTCTTACACCTCTTGCAGTGACATTTTTATGCTCATGTATGAAAATAAACTTATTAACGTGTTCCCTAACTGCTATACCATTTTAAAGATTTTTTTAACATTGCCAATCACTAGCTGTGAAGCAGAACGCTCCTTCTCCAAGATGTCCTATGTAGAAAATAAATATAGGACAACAATGTCGAACCATCGACTAAATAATTTATCACTTCTTTCCATAAATTGTGATCTAACAAAAGACTTGGAATGTGATGACCAAATAACTGTCAATTTCTGTGACTACAACCTATCAATTTTTTTACTAATTCATAATAAGTAAATAAATAAAATTGTTTTATTGTTTTTTTTATATTCTTATTAAATATCACTATTTCGGTTTCTCTCTCACCCAAAGTTTGCCTGGAAGAGATTGCTACCACAGCAATAAGGTCGCCTTTTGTACAACTAATACTTGCGTAGATTTAAGTAACATTTATGTTACTTAAATCCACATATCACAAATACCGAAGTCTACAGCAGAATAGGCAGAGAAAGAGAATTGCTCAATATAATAAAAATAAGAAAAACATCATACTTAGGGCATATATTGAGAAATGAAAAATACCACGTCTTACAATTGATAGTTAAGGGTAAGATTGAAGGAAAGAGAGGTCTCGGCAGGAAGAAACTATCTTGATTGAGAAACATCAGAAACTGGACTCACCTAACTTTTGAAGAACTTATAAAGAAAGCCGAGAATCGTGAAGATTTTTCCAATGTGATCGCCAACCTCCACGAAAGAGACGGCACGTAAAGAAGAAGAATAATAATATATCATTATAGAAACAGTTTTTTGATATGGCTATTAGTTGAGTACTTATGTAGGCCCCTAAGTAGTTTCAGCCGAGGGCCCCACAAATTCACGATCCGCCCCTGCTCTCTTTTCTGCTACAGCAGCAGCCTCCTCGTGTACACGTGTTCTTAACTGAATGAACCGCGGTCGCCATTAAAATGCAGCATTTTTTAAGTTATTATATAGTTCTTATCACGAAACTTTTCCTCTACACTTTTCTACATTTGGCATCTTGTATGATAATGCCATGACTCAAAGGAAAAAAACCTAGGCAATACCTAGGCAGTGGATATAAATGTATTCTGATGTAATGCTATGTTACAGTCCATAATAAGAATATTGGGATTTTCGCGACATTCATATTTTATTATCTAATCTAGTTTAAACCTTATTTAACTATTCTCTGCTGTCTCAGCAATTTTTAGCAAATTCATTTTAGCCACATTTTAAACAACAATTTAGACTTGGCTTTCAGTTCTCAGACTTGACTTTTAATCCGTCCCCAATTCAAGCCAAGCATAGATATATTTTCTCCGTCAACCGCAGAGTTCGCGTCAAATTCGTCTACCTTTTTACAAAGGGAAGCTCGAAAAATATTGCACCGAGGCCCCCAGTTGTCAATCTATCTACGCTACCGTATTCTTAGTATACATTTAGATCGAGACTATTTAAATATTTTTTATTTAAAATCGCTTTTTATTCAAAATTTGAGATAGATAGGTATAGAAAACCCTAATATAGTTTGAAAAAGCATTTGAATCTGCTTCGATTTATTTTAAAAAATACAGTATGTTGCATTTGAAATAATGAAGTTTTTATATAAAATATATCCTTAAAATATATCCTTTTTTTTATATTTATATTTTTTATTTTTTGAATATCTTTAAATATCTCAAAAACTAAAAATTTTAAACATATTAAACCCCCAGACTATTTAAATTTACCTAATGCTATTCATTCTTTTTTTTTGCTGCCAGTCAGTCATATTTATTAGTTATTAATAAAAGAATAGTCGGTAAAAACATACGGGATGTAGATCTTAATTAAGGGCAAATATTTTCAGGGATGGTATATTTCGACCCCAGGAACACGTCTATGAGTTTTTTTTTGAAAAAAAGATGTTAAAAATCGAGCATTTTCTTTTAAATTTTCCTGTATATTTTAGAAAACTTTTTAGAACTTCCTGTTCGCCGCAAATTAGGGTTAGTTAGGGCCGAAGTATCTGTATCTAATGCTCATTCCTCTTTCCTGTAATTTGCTGTACACTATATCTAATAATACTACTTATCATCCTTTTGATGGGATCTTGTTTCGTTTTGTAGGTCAGATCACATTTTGTCCGTCACGTTGTCTCGGTCACTCTAGACTTTACAAATATTTCCATGTTTTTTCTTTTCCAGAGCACCTACCGGTCTGAATTGTCTTGCTCCATACGGCGGGCCTATCATACCTGGAGTGGCTGTGGGTGGAGCCACACAAGATGATCATCTGGATGCTGTAGGCATGACTTTGACTTTCCTGGTAGAGAATAAGAACAACGAGGATGAATTGACAAATGCCTACGCCTGGGAAAAAGCGTAAGTTTCGATTTATTAAATTCTTTACAAATATAAATTTTAAACGTGTTTCCTTCAAAAAAGTCAATGGGTATTTCCGCCACTTGTACTGCAAAAAAAACAAAATATAATAGTTATTTTATGTAAACACTGCTCTTGTCAGTGTCAGTAGTGATTTACTAATAAACAAATTTCCCTAACGGACGAAAAAATGCTTAACCTTTCGGGAAGGATATCTTGTCTCTTCATGTCTCTTCCCGTCGTCGGAAGCAAAAAAAACACAAAGAACAAAGAAAAAAACTATTTAAAATATCTAAATACAACTATTCAAGAACACTACTATTTTTTTCAAGAGATACGTCTATTGCTGTCCTCCATTCGCGAACTTCGAGTTTCGGGCTTTACGCCCTGGGGCTACTCGAGAACGGTTCTGAAAGGAGCGAGCCTGGCGCCTCCATATGGCGCGGAACAGTTCTGGAACTTTATGACTCAATTGAATGGAGTGAGAGGATCGCGTTCTTGAACAGTTCAGAGCTGCTCAACTGCGTGAAAGGAGGACAGCATATAAACATCGTTGACGTTCTCTTAAAATGACATTATATCAAGTTAAACTTCAAAGTTAACAATATTACAATGTTATTGTCAACATTCATGGGACACAGGGTACAAAGTAGATTTTAATAACACAAAAATTATTATGAAATAAGCGATAGTCTCTAAACGAAAAATAAAAGAAGCTTTTTTAATACAGTCTAATAATAAATAAAAAATAAAGGTATTGCTCATGCATCTGTAGAAGTTAGTAATGTATGGCTATCGCTTCTTTTGTCCTAATAAAGCAGATATTTATAAATAATTAACAATTTTAATAGATTTATCGAATTCATGAAGAAATGGGATGCGAACAACAGATCTGAATACATGCACGTAGCATTCTCGGCTGAGAGATCTATACAAGACGAAATCGAACGCTTATCCGAATCAGAAGTATTAACCGTTGTCATCAGTTACATAGTCATGTTTGTCTATATCGCTCTCGCTTTAGGAAAAATAGTTAATGTTGAACAATTGTTGGTAAGTACATTAATTATTAGTTTATTTTGAATGTGTGTAGCAATCCTAGATCATATATACTTACGTGGATAGGTAAATCACTATGGAAACTATCGCAAACATATCAACGACTTCCATTTATCGTCTTTTTTTGTTGCACACGCGGTTCTTCTACTCTGTCTATCTTTGTCTAGGATCTAGCGTACACGTGCCAAATTTGAACATTAATTTAAAAAAATTAATTTGTAAAATGCTTATATTTGAACAATAAATTGAATGTTTACTGTCACAAAAATTAAATTATATAAAAAATACATTTAGCTACTCCGTACGAATATCAATATTCTTAGGAAATCTAACCAGAAAGTATGCATGTGGTTTAATATAAATAAAAGAACAACTGAATACTTTACTTGCCTATGAACAGATAATTCGGGGACCTTTATATTAGAACTTCCCTACACCAAACACTTTCTAGTCATTTTTACGAGTATTTAGAAAGTTCAACGAAAAAAATACAGAAATATAATTGCACAAACTTAAAATTAACTTTTCACTGAAGACACTTGCATCGTTGGCTATACAGGGTGAAATAAAAACACTAAATCACCACAATACACCAAAACACTTTTACTTTTACACTGGACGCGCGTTTCGCTAACCATGTTAGCATCATCAGCAGATGATTATAAACTAAAGTACAATCTACAAGTTGAGCGTTTATATACTCGCTCAGTGGGCACTGAGTGGGCAACTGTAATATACAGGGTGTCCCAGAAATAAGTGCAAATATTTTAAGGGGTGGTAGATCTCGATAAAAGAAACATATTTTCTCTTTATCGTTTTTCAAATAAGTCCAAAATAACGGAGTTATTTTACTTTGAACATTTCCAAAAAAAATGATTTTTTGCTAAAATTTTGAGAACCATTGGATCTTTTCTGGATTTTCTTTCTTGTAAATTTAATCTAATATCTATGTTGCCATATTATCAAGAAATTATATTTTTTAACTAAAAACTAAACTAAAAAAAAAATTTTCAAAAAATTTCGAATTTTCAAATTTTTTTTTCGCGAAAAAAACTCATAGGCGTGTTTCTGGGGTTGAACTATACTGCCAGTTAAAATATTTGCCCTTATTTCTGGGACACCCTGTATAAAAGCGGTCGATAAAAGAGTAATTAATACAATTTTTAAAATAAAAAACGCAAAAAACAAGCGCCGTTACACAATGGAAATAAGATTTTGACATATGATTATCATGATTATGCCAAGATTATGACAATATAATGACAATGAAAAGTTGGTTTCCATAACAATGTATAATTTGTACTTTATAAACCTTTGAATATGAAGACTAAGGAAGGAGCATATCAAAAATCTTAGGTACACCGCGATAGGCCTCAAATATGGCCGACTTAAATTCCGGTTTATCAGTGTCGTTCTAATTTTATTTAAAAAATGTAAAACTATGATGTAGGGTAGACGTGGGGTAGACTCAATAATTTGTTGTTTTATTTTACGTTGTGAATAAATGTTGGTAGTTATTAAAATTGTTATAAAAATATATAATTCTAATAAAAATAGATAAGTTATAATAAGTATTTATTAACACAAACATCCGATACGCTACTGAAGCAGGTAAGTCAAATTAACGTATCTAAATTCTTTGACATCTAATCATGGCTGGGAAACTTAAATGGAAATGACAGTTCATTAAAAATAGTTTTTCTCCAAGATGCAGAGGCGCAAAATATTAAAACTGTCAATATTAACAATGCAAATGTCAATATCTGACAATAATAAAATTTGATTTTTAACTGTCACTCAGAGACGCTTTTGTTGTGATTTTACGGTTTGATTTGTCGAATTATTGTAAAATTAAATTCCTTCAGATTTTTTGCCAGTATTCTGTTTTAGACAATGTTTTTTAAAAATGGTGGGACAATTTGTGTTTTGTAATAACTCTTAATTATTTTTTATCATGGAGTTTAATTGTTGTACACCTGGTTTCCGAAGGATACAATGGTAAGTAAATTAAACATATCTACTTACAGTTATAGATTTTTTAAATTAGTACTGCTAATAAATGCTACTTGCAGAGCAGTTATTTAATTTTTTTACGGTGCATGTAAGGAATTAAGGACGCGCGTTTTTTTTTATGATCAGCAGATAATTACATCTGATTTAATTTGTTTTGATTATTTCAGGTCCCAAACGGAAACAAACTGGGAATCTTGCCTACACCAAAATTATATACCTAGCCGTTTCCAATTCACTTCAAAGGGAGGAAAATTATGTAAAACTGCCTGCTATTTGCTGAAAACCACCAAAGATTAAATTATAACTGTAACAACTTAATATATACTATTTCTAGTATTTTTAATATATTTTTTAATTAATATCCGACATATAAGAACACTTTGTATGCTTTTAATTCAGTTGATTTATCGTGTATAATATGTTCGACCTAATTAAAAGCACACAAAGTGTTCTTACATGTATGTCTAAATTAATTTTAAATTAACTAAAACAACCCCCCTTCCCCGCACCCCTCTCTTCCATTAGTATTTCTTCCTCCGTCTACCAGAGGCGCCCTTGTATAATAAAATTGAAATGTATTATAAGTTGCCTATCTATTTAATAGTATAAGTCTTTTATCTATGCATCTAATCTTTGACAAGTAATAAGTAAAAGCTAAAATGCAAGAAAAATATATAATTTAGTTAATTTAAGTGAATTTCATAAATGATCGGTTTACTACACGTATGTATATTATATAGTCACTTACTAGCGAAAAGTTGTTCCATTATTTCACTCGATTTTTGCCGAGATCTACCGCACGCTACATAACCAACTATTTTAGAGTCTTTTTCGATAAATCGCGATAGTGTCACTGTTAATTTAAGTTCTGCCATAATTTCCATCTAGATTTACTACCTTTATACAACTATCCGTAGTAGAATAAATAATAAATAACATAAAATAAGCTCAGTAAAGCCTGACAAATCCACAAAATTTAAAATCAAATTCAAATGTGTTAAATGAATTGTCAAACAGAACTGTCAAGGATCCCCACCCTAGAGTACTTTTTCCACCCACCATGCATGAATACGTGGATAGCATTATGCTCCTTCCTTAGTCTTCTTATTCAAAATTATAAACCGTATAAAATTGTAATTATTTTGGAAATACTTGCAACTTTTAATGCGCATGCGGAAAGTAAGGTTCTCGAGAAAGACAAACCTATTGAACGTTTCATAAGTGCAATAAAGAAGGTTTGAAAATGGCATATTGTGATGTTGGAGACATATTTTGTAATGCTAAACTTATGGCGTTGATTTATCCACGTAAGTATAATATATGATCTACGGTAGCAATGAGTGATACCAATAATTGAAATATTACAAAATATATGGAGGGATCAACGATGATTGAACTCTTATATTCATTGGCTGGAAGTGGTCCAAAGAGACCGAATGCCATCCTTGATTGATTTAGTTTCTCCGTCTTACTGATAAACCTGTAAGTTAATATTGCCAACTATTTCAGTCATTGTCATTGTTGGTCGCTCTGTATTATAGTAATTACCTCAAAATATTATTTGCAGCTAGAAACAAAGATGATACTTGGAGTCGGCGGAGTATTTATAGTTGGTTTCTCAGTAACTTCAGCTATTGGTCTATGTTCGTACTTTCACGTCAAAACAACCATGTTGACTATAGAAGTGATCCCTTTCTTGGTACTAGCAGTTGGTGTGGATAATATCTTTATTATCGTCCAAACACATCAACGAAACGACAGGTAATACTGAATAGTTTTAATGAAAAATATGAAATAAAAAATATAATTTTTTAAATCCCCCTATTTATATCCCGAAGCTTTAATCCAATTTTGATTTAAAAAGTATGTCTTGTATTATTTTCTAGTATTGATATCAAAGTCGTTTATTGAGTTTAATTTTGCATTATATAAATATTTTTTTAAGAGAACCAAGTGAATCTATACAAGAAAGCATAGGAGAAACGTTGGGAAAAGTTGGTCCGAGTATGTTACTTACGAGTACTTCAGAAATTTTCTGTTTTGCTATAGGTAAGTAGTGACATTGTATATAATTACAATTGTGTTGCTTAAAGTTGCTAAACTGATTACTTTTGACGCCAATGCTCGTTGACGGCCATTTACTGTCCTCCATTCACGCAGTTGTGCAGCTCTGAACTGTTCAAGAACGCTATACTCTCACTTCATTCAATTGAGTCATAAAGTTCAGAACTGTTCCGAGCAATATGGAGGCACCAAGCTATCGCGCACAGCTCCTTTCAGAACCTTTCTGAGTAGCCCAGGGCGTAAAGCTCTGGAACTTGAAGTTCGCGAATGGAGGACAGCAATTGTTTTCCTCTCGTGGGTGCTGGAACACCTGAGCACCCCCGCAGTCGGCACCCCTGAGAGCCGCCAAACAGCATTGACTATGGATCTCAGTCGTTCCCTGTAATGACAGAATATTTCAGTAAAAGTCAAAACACATAACATACAGGGTCGCTTTTATGTATGGAATCGGTCGATTATTAGTAAAATATAGGAGGTACCGCAAAAAGTTAAATATAAAAGTTATAGGGTTTATCAATATTTATTAGCGGGTAATAAATTTAAGTATACAGGGTCGGTCATAAAGTCGTGGCACATCAAAGTTTCATTTTTTAAATGGAAACCCTGTATATTATTGAATATTTCGGTTCTTTCTTCAATTCTTAGCAAAAATCTAAAGACACACAATGTACCTCATACCAACCGTTTCCGAGTTATTGACTTTTGAAAATATCACTTAAAAATTTGATTTAATTAATTTCGATATGTTCAGTTTCATTTAACGATGCCATTTTGCCAAAACTGTGATACTTAATAACATTTGACATTAGTCCTCAAATTAGCATTTATAGATGTATAAAATGAGAGTATAGCAAGTCTGGAAATTAAAAAAAAGTTTCGTTTAACATTTCAATTCTTCAATTTATATACATTGTGTATTACGATTATTGTTTTAAATTGAAGGAAGAATTGAAATATGCAATAATATACAGGGGGTTTTATTTAAAAAAAATAAAGTTTGATGTGCCACAACTTTATGACCGATCCTGTATAGGTACTTAAATTTACTAGTAGTTAATATACATTAAAAAACCCATTACAACAGTATCACAGTTTCGATAGAATGGCATCATTAAATCAAACCAAATACATCGAAATTAATTAGATCGAATTGTTTAAGTGATATATTCAAAAGTCAATAACTTGGAAACGGTTGCTTTGAGGTATATTGTGTGTATTTCGATTTTTGCTTAGAATTGAAGGAAGCATTGAAATATGTTATAATATACAGGAAGTTCTATTTAAAAAAATGAAACTTTGACGTGCCACGACTTTATGAATGACCCTGTATACTTAAATTTATTACTCGCTGATAGATATTTAAAAATCCTATAACTTTTGTATTTAACTTTTGCGGTACCTCCTATATTTTACCTAATAATCGACCGTTTCCATACATAAAAGCGACCCTGTATATCGACATAGATCGATTTAAATATAATCGTATACCCGTATTATATTTATTATTATCAAAACGGTATATAAGTTTAGCTAAACATAATAACAAATAAAAAACATACAATTCATAGTAACGAACTAAGAACTAATAACAAAAGCATATACAGGGTTGTTCACCACATACGACAGCGAGTATTGTAGCTAAATGATTAGATTTTTACAAATTGTAAGTTTTGGGTTCGTTGAGGGACTATTAGAGCTACAATTTAAATATATTTTTACAAGATACAGAGTGTCTCAAATAAATAAAAAATATCAAAGTTGTATTTTTTTAAATGGAACATCCTGTATATTATTACATTTTTAGTTTCTACGATTAAAATAAAGGTAAATTTAATTAAGGTTTATTACACTTAAACCTGACCGTTTTTGAAATATTTTCAATTTAGTGAAATTGCAGTAAAAACTTTAAGGCTTCATTTCTCCAAGGGTATCAAATTTTTTAATACTAAATATTTACTGAAGTCTGTTTATTGATCAGTTATTGTGTTGCAATAATAAAAATAATACTACCTCATACAGAGTGTCTAAAAATGTATTTCAAATTATTTCTAACTTTAAACGGCAATAACTTGTTTAATTTAGATGGAACGCCCTGTATATTTTAGGAGAATCAGATGCACAATTTAATTGTCTATCAAATTGTATTATACCACTTTTTATCTATCCCTTCAAGTTTTCGTACAAAATGCATTTTCTTATAATTGACATTTTAGATTGTTTTTAAAGCAACAAATGTACAAAATGTACAGGCTTGTAATATTATCGTTTTTAGCAAAATGATAATATTACTAGCCCATTTGTATGCAAAAAGAAAATTATTTAAATCTTTGTAAAAGAGCATACCATTAATTAAATATACCACCATTATTTCGGCCCAAATACTAATTAATTACATACTTAATTATGTTCGTTAATAAATTATTCTAAATAAAT